AATTTTTTGTAATCTGTGAACTAACTAATCGAGATAAATCGTTGATTAGTGCAAAATGATAAATTCTCTTGAATTGAAAAATATCATCATTATCATCATCATCATCATCATCATCATCAAAGTCAATTTCATTATTTTCAATCATTAATAAGTGATATGTTGGTTCATCTGATTTATATTCACTTAAATAAAGTGGAACAATATCATTTTTTTTATTAATTTTATCAATTCCATAAACGTTAATGGTTAAATTGTTTAGTTTTTCAAATTTTGAAATGTCATTTAGAGAAATAGGGAAATTTATATCACCAATCTTTAAATCAGTATCTTTGAAGTGTGGGTATGAACTAGTGCAAGACACATTACTCTTTGCTGGATAACGTTGGGCAATAATTGACCATAAAAAACAGAATTGATCATTATTTTTAATATTAATAACAGCTCTTTTATTGATTATAAATTGTGGCATTTTTATAAAAGTTGATAATCCAGTTGAAAGAGGAACGTATTTATTAATATTCACAGTTAAATTTAAAATTTCTTTCAAAGACCACCCTGACTCATTCTGTTGAAAATCATCAATTTTAACAAAAAGTTTTTCTCTAATTTCACTCTCAAACCATTTATCAAAATTTGTTGATTCAAGAATTTTTGAATTTTTTGTGTTAAAAAATTTGACATCATCAATTTCTCTACCATTTTCTAAAGCACTATAATTTGCTGCAAAAACAACATTAACTTTCAAATTTCCCATTCTTTTAAAATTTTTTTTAATTTTAGAGATAATTATGTTTTTCGCATCACTAAAAAAACAATCTAAATTTTTATGTTTTAAATTTATTATTAAACCTGTTCTAATTCGATTATTAAAAGCATTCTCGATATCATCCCACCTGATCCATTTCTCATCTTCCTTGAGGCCTAATCTTCGCCTCCTTAGCTTCTTAAATTTCCGACTGTTTGCCTTCAAAAGTCCAATTGTTGATAAAATTTTTCTCTTTTCTCCACATGGTAATGATTTATTTTTTAAAAGTTTAGTAAGTTGATTCACATTTTTTACACTATTTTTAATCCAAAATTTCAGTTCTTCAGGTGTTGTTTTTTTACTTAAAGTTGCTAAAGCAGTATTCATAACCTTCAAAAATTCTTTACAATAGTCAAAATTCATTGTGAATTAATAAAAATTTAACTGTTCCTTGATATTTCACATCGGACGTAACAATACAATGTAGTAATAAGAAATTCTTCCTCACTCTTTTATAGTCATACATTTTTCTCTATCTCTTTTTACTAAATATACTTCATCATTTTCTAAGAGATTTAGATTGAATCATTATTGTCAGCTGATGTGAAAATAAATTAAAATTCATGCAAAAATTACATCTTGAGAGTTAATAATACTAATAATAATAATAATTGTAATAATTAATAATAATAATTGTAATAATTAATCATAATAATTGTAATAATTAATAATAATAATTGTAATAATTAATAATAATTATTAATAAATAATAATTGATAATAATAATAAGTATTATATGTCTTCTAATTTTATTGTGCTGACATATCTCATATTACACTACAGATGATTCCTCTCTGAAATGTATGTAACTATTTTTATCATCCAAGCAAAAAACCACTCATAACATTAACAGATGATGTTTTCTTATTCTGATAATATCTGTATAATTATTATTCTATTAAATAATTAAACAATTTATTTAAATATTAAGAAAACCAAATTTATTTGAAAAATATTTTATACTTACCGTATGATCAGGAGATATAGTGAAACTCTGTATGTCAACTTGTACTTCATAAATATACTTATTCGTTTCTCAATTTTGAAAAAAATTTACAAATTTTGGGAGACAAGTTTTTGGGGAATTTTCAGGAAAAATTTTTTTCTTTGTATCTCTTTAGAAGTTTCTCGATTAGAATGGATTAGAACCATTTTTTATTTCAAATGTCGGTAAATGTCGGTGCAGGAATCTGTATCTAGAACCGGCACTGTATATCTACTTAAATCTAAAACATTTTTCGAAAATTTTTGTTTTTACAAGTTAATTGCAAAATACCATGATGGTGTTAAATGGATACCATTTTATGGTGTTTTTTATGGTTTTTACCAGGATAATCTAATTTTAGCCAATTTTCACAATCATTTTGGTAAACAGCGCAACAAAGTACGTTAGTATACCTAGTTTTATTAAAATCGGAGGTACCTCTACTTCGGAAGTATATCCAAATATCTAAAGTCAAAAAATTTAAAAAAAAATTATTTTCAAGATATTCTATGTTTTATGATTTAAAAATATTCGACAAAAATAATTTTTCGATTTTATTTAGGTTACCCAGATAACAAAATGCCTGCATAATAGCAGGCCGTGTGCCGAACCTCAGTCCGATTGATCGGACCAACGTGCCGGCACATAAGCAGCGCAATGTACGCGCCATTGCTGGCGATATCGCCCGCCCGCGGTCCGATCCATTAAAGTACAGAAAATGTTTTTTACTAAAATAAAAATTGAAACTGCGTCTATGTAGATACGTTTAATGATTATTTAAACAATTTGAGTAAAAAAATTACACGTGCTGATTAACATTTTGAAAATGTGCTCTGGTAACTTTCTTTATCAGATAATCAACCATCTCATTGATTAAAAGCTAAAAAAATAGTGTTCAAAAATATTTCATTAGTAAAAAATGAGCTGTTTTCGGAATTTAATCACGGAACTGCATATATTTAATTCAGTATGATTATTTACAATACTTATCTTAAAGTTAAATTATCTCACGCACGCAAGGGGAATCGAAACCGCGACCTAACGCAAACTAAACCTAATGCCTAACCAACTGATCTATCAACGCACTTGCTTTTATTTACAAGAATTCTGTCCTAAAAATGAACTATAAAATACTTTTATTTAAAATTATTGTTTTTCAAAATTTCATTTATTCAAATATTCTTCTTAGAATTAATTATTTTTATTATAAATAGATCAAACATTTTGAATATTATTATATAGATTGTAATAATTTTCAAGATATTCTATGATTATTTTTTGTGTTATTAAGAATATTCGTATAATCGCATGATTGTTAAATGCAATATATATTAGGATTAAAATTTAAATTCATTTAAACGTTTATATTGTGTCAAACTAACGTTGTATCCTTAAATTACTTTATTTAGACATTTGATACTGGCTTAAAATAAAAACATAGCAAAAGTTAAGAAAATTAGGTTACAAAATTTTCAGATGAGTTTTCCATTTTTTTCGTAAATAAGGGTGTTTTTTGTTTGCTCTCGCGAATAACGTGTTTTCATTTAGGAGCCATCGATATAAATTCTCAATGGAACATTAATAATTAAATCTATCTTTATTTTATTAATTCATTAATTTATTTCTTTGTTAAAGTAAGACAAAATAAATATTTCGAAGTCAAACTTATTAGCTTTATTAAAAGTTTTCATAGTTTTTTTTAAATTTATTCCATCCAATTTTCAATTTATTATTCAATTAATTCAATTCGTTTCATGAATTTTTATTTGTTTAATATTTAGTACAATTTTTAAAAAACTTTTCAGTTAATCGTTTAATTTTTTTAAGGATTTTCTTTTTTTCCCACACATCACATTATATTTCATAAACATTTCATGAATATTTCATTGAAAGATTTGAAATATTTCAATGCAAGGTTCATGAAATGTTGATGAAAACAGGAAAATGTCCGCCTATAAGAAATATTGCCGTGAAATTTTGATGAAATATTACACATTAAGACTCCTGCAATATTACAAATGAAGACTCTGATGAAATATTAAGAAAATATTTCAAAGAAAGTTAAAAACTTTTTTAAAATATGAAATCAATCGTTATTTTCTAACATGTTCAACACCTTAGGATCCTTAGCATCATTTAAGTTGGAATTTTTCTATAATATTTTAATGAAATATTTCAGCAAAATTACACGGCAATATTACTTATAGGCGGACATTTCCCTAATTTCAGCAATATTTCAAGGACTTTACATTGGAATATTCCAAAATTTCAATGAAATATTTCAGAAATATTTAGAAAATATCATGTGCTGTGTGTGTTTATACGTTATTTTCTCATTTTGTTGTTAAGTTCCTTTATAATTTTTTATCATTCTTTGCTCATTTAATAAATTTTATAGTTTTTCATAATTTTTTCATTTCTTAGAAATGTTGTCCCTTCTCTAAACCGAATAACTTTTTCCTTATATTATTCTTTTTTAATAGATTCTAGTCAGTTTTTTTTTGCATTTTTTCCTGTATTTTTACAAATTTCCCAATCGTTCCTATATTTCAATAGTTTTTCGTTCTGTTATAACATTTTCTTTAATTTTTTAAAAACATTTCTGTAAATCATTTCAATTTTTTTTAATTTTCAGATTCTTTTTACATTCGTTTATAAATTCTTCTATTTTCTTACAACATTTTATTTTATACAATTTTTAACATTTCATAATTTTTTAAAAATTTAAAGCTGTTTAGTTTTTGTTTTGGGCATTTTTAAATATTTTAAGCTGTTTTCGTTCTTTAAAGCTTTGTTCTTACATTTTTTAAACTCCTTCATTTTATGAATAATCTCCTTAACTTTCTTATATTTTAAGAATTTTCTTTTCTTAATATTTCTATAGTGTGTTTTACAAAACTTAAGTTATTAGGATTTTTATACTTATTAAACTGCTTAATTTATTAAAAATTTGTTGGCTTATATTTTTCTCATCTTTTTGATAATTTACTTTACTTTTTAAATTTTTTATTCATGATTTTTTAGATATTTTAAAAAGTATTCTACATTTTTAAAAATTTGTGAATTATTTTTTAATAAATCTTGTTATTTTCTCTTATCCCTAGATTTATTCTTTTATTTATATTTTTATATATTTTGAACCATAAAAAAAATTATTGCAAACTTGTTTTGCTTATCACTACAAAAAAATAAAATATCAATAAAAATTAATTTATTTGTAAATTATTTAATTTTATTAGTGAAAGTAATACTTTTTTTTATTTATAATGAAGATTCAAAAACAGAAATTTAAACAAGCCTATTGGCAGATATATCCTGGACAAAAGATCCGGAAAATATGTCAGGAATATTGCGAGCACGATGCTGGCACAGTCGTTCTTGTCATAAAGTAGGTGGAACAAAAGGTGCGTTACAGCAGGGACACGGTCCGCCGCTCGTTGTGCCTGTAACGTGCCAGACACGTTTGTTATCTGGGTTACAACTAAATTTATTTATTTTAGTGTTTAAATATAAAAATAATCCAACAAATGTCATTAAATTAAATTTTTGTAAAATAATTTAACTAACTATTGTTTCAAACAATATAGATCAATTTTAATCCTTTTTTTTGTGGTTTTTAAAACTGGGATTTAGAATACGGCAAATCAGACTAGAAATTTTTCTCAAAACAAAATAAACGCTGTAACTAATTAAAAGAATGGAAGTAAAGAAAAATACGTAAACATCAACAAGTTCTGCCTTCCACCAAGGCATATCCATTGCCGGTGATCGTAACGAATTTGCGCCATTTCTTATAACGTACTCAATCCAAAAAACTGCCGTGTCTGTTGCACTCATAGGTCGATCTCGAAATAATTGAGATTCACGTTTTGTAGCTTCTCTGTAATAATTGATTGCAAAATTATTTATATGAGACTTGGATAGTTAAAAGGGACCTTACACCTGAAAAAAATATTTTTTATTGATTGGTGATTCTGATAGAAAAAATTTTCTCTATTAGAATTACCAATCAAGAAAAAATCGATTTTTTCGGACGTAAGGTCCCTTTTAACTGTCCATGTCACATGTATATCATTAGAACATCATTATTTTCAAGTTATAATGTTACAAAAATATTTCTCTTTTATAAAAAATAATCATTTTTTACAAGCAAATTTATCTTTTACTTTTGAGCCCGACTATTTTTTTATATGCACATTTGTAATCGAAATATATTTATTAATATATTTTTATGAATAATTATAATTTTGAAAATATTAAAATAAAATAACTTACCGATATTTGGGATCATAAAGAACTGCATGTAGAGCATTATTCAAAGATTTTTCGGTAATATCTTTGTAATTCATTTCATAAGCGACATTTTTGTCAGCAAGCAGCCGGATGTTTAGCGGTTGATCACCAAATAATGGAAAACCAATCATAGGCACAGCAAAATAAAGGCCTTCTTGAACACTATTTAATCCTCCATGAGTCATAAATACTTTTGTATTTTTGTGTTCTAAAGAAAAAATTATAAAAATATTAAACTATGATAACAAACTTTTTACTTAAAATTTAAAATTAATAAAAAATCTTACGTAAAACTGGAATCTGAGGAATCCAGGACATTATTAGAACATTTTTTGGCAAGCCTGGAGGAAGATTTTCTTTATTTACAATTTTCATAAGAACTCGAATTGGCGCTAATTTTGCAAAAGACGCATACATTCCTAATAAAATTTCTTTTGGTAAATCTTCGATGATAACCATAGATCCTAGAGTGAAAAACACTACTCCGTGAGTACTTTCATCCATCCAAATTTTTAGCTCCTTATTTAAGGAAATAAAATGTAAAAATTATAAAATATTTTAGATTACAAAAGTTTAGGTCACGAATAAGACTTGAAAATATGAAACTTATACATCTAAATTCCTCATACCTTTGTCATTTTTGTTTCACTGAGTTCAATTTGAATGCCAGCAATTTGAACCACAGCTGGAATTAAAGGTCTTATACCAAAGAAACTCTGATAGGCATTAACTAGAAGTAGAGCTGTCTTCTTTTCAATTTCTCTGATATTTGGTACATCCAGACTTAAATATTTTCTCATGGCCATGGTTTGATTTTCTTCTGTGTACTTAAAAAATCTGTAATTACCATATTGAGCCCAAAAGTGATTTTTCACTCGATCCCAAAATGTTATTATACGAAAATTCTTTGTCTCAAAGCTAACTGTATAAGCGCTAGTCTTAGGATTTCCAAGTATATCATCAAACATTAAAAGCTCTGTTAAAGCTGAAACCAAGACCACTGGAACATTTAAAACATGTCCGATTCCAAAAAAGCAAGTTGCTCCTAAAGCCTGAAAAAGGATTTAATTCTAATATAAAAAATTTTTCGGATAATAACTAATCGCACCATTAAAATATATTAAAAATAATTGTCAAATAAGATTATTTCAAATTTATAAGCATTATATCAGCTTAAACATAGAAACTGTCTGTTTGACCTACTTTCTGCATATAAGTAATTAGAAATGACTAGTTTATAATTAATCTTATTTTTATATCATATTATCACAAAAAATGCAAATAGTTGATATTCAAACCTCTGTAATGAGCAAATCGTATGGAGGATCATTTGGTGGATTTTTAATGAACCTCTGCATTTTCTCCAGTCCCATTAATTCACAAAAATTATTTCCAAATTCTTCAACTAATATGCGAACTGTATCAACATTCTGAAAATGTTCTACCATATCCAGTGTCCATGTGTTTACTGTTTCCTTCAATGAACCGTGCAAATTGATAATTGTCGTATAATTTTTTGGCGGATTTTTCAATTCAAAATGTGAAATAACATCAACTTGATGACCCTTTAAGGCTAAAGCTTTAGCGACACTTTCCAACGAATTAGTATGACTTTTTGAATTAAAAGGAGCAATAACAAGTATTCTGTACGCATCACTGTTTAAACTAATGTAATATATTGAAAATAGACAGAAATAAAAATTATTAAACGAAACCATTTTTTTATATACTTATAGCAGTTACTAATAATAAACTCTTCTCTATACTACTATTGTTGTGAACTGACCACTATGACAATGTAAGCATCTTATTAAATGCATTTTTATATACTATACATTCTTTATCTTATCGCGGGTAATAGTGATCATCAAAATCCTATTCCACGTGTTGCGAGTAAAAATTAATTGTTTATACAATGATAAACAATTTAAAATTCGATTTATCATGCTAAGTTGCGTTTTTATTTAAATGTTTTTACTCAAATAAAATGATCTGTTCATGCATTTATAAATCGTTATATATATAATCTGTTATAAAACAGAATACCGTGCAAGATATGTAATATTATAAACTTTTATTTTGGTAATATTTTAAATATAAAAAATTGCTTTCGTGAAAATTACTTATCGGGAAAAATGAATTTGTGATATTAAATTCGGGAAAACGTTGGGGAACCGATATTATATGTGCCCTGACGCAGTGAAAAGGACATTACGACAAAAAAATTGATTTTTATTTTTTTAAGTCAATTGATAATATTTGAGTTGCTCTTTCATTTCCAAAAACTAGAAATTATTTTCTTCAATTAATTTTTTACTATGAACATTCAAATGTAGGCATCTATCGCGTTTTTCATTTTCTAGATCATTTGTGATAGCTTATCCAATAACGTTAGTTTTTGGCGATTTTAATTATCTTAAATGGAAAATCATAGTTTTTGAGATGCTGCTTGATTTCCAAATATCAAAAATTATCTCCTTTTAATATTATTTTTTCTATAAACATTCAAACATAGGCCGCCCGTCCTGTACAATTTACCGAATTAAATTAATACTTTAAAATTAACAGTAAATATATATTTTATTTATTTATTTTCAGCCTAATGGACCAAAAATGGACTTGGTTTAGGTACATATAATCACTGTGCTTCTCTATTAACATCCATCATTACACACTTATATCTTTGTACATAAATTTACAATAAAGTTAACGCCAAACCTCTTTACTTTTAAGTATTTTATCTATATTATCTAAAGCTTTGACTATTTTATTATCATATTTCTCATTAGATCCAATCTTATATAAATTTACATTATCAATATTTACTTCCGCAGTTAAATTTTTAATACCTACACATTCTTTGAACAAAAGTTTAAAATAACATCAGCCTTTTTCACAAATTTTACAAGTCCATACACTTTCATTTGCCGAATATTTATTGATTCTTTCCCAAGGGGGAATTTACTAGTTAAAAACGTGTACACTTGACTACCGGTATCACCGTCCGACAAAATTCAACTTTTTTTTCACACACGAAAAAATCAATGATTTTCAGAAACTAGGACCAAAAAAAAGATACCCGTGTCTGGCCGTTTTGCTAGATCAGGTCATTTTTTGCTTTTAGGGGTAAAAACAACCCTTAAATAAAATGTGATAGGAAATCTTGTACAAAAAAATAATTTTTTATGAAACCTGGTATCTCGGGGTTTTCCGGGTCGCTGATTACGAATCTGATGTCAGATTTTCAAAATTCAAAATGGCGGATCCAATATGGCGGTCAAAATTTATAAAAATTTACCAATTCATTTGAAAGTTGTTACTTAGGGGTTTTTGGGGTCGCTGATTAAGAATATAATGTCAGATTTTCAAAATTCAAAATGGCGGATTCAATATAGCGGTAAAAATTTATAAATGTTCATCGAATTCACTTGAAACTTGTTACTTAAAGGGTTTTGGGGTCGCTGAGAACGAATATGATGTCAGATTTTAATAATTCAAAATGGCGTATCCAATATGGCGGTCGAAATTTATAAATATTTATTATTTTTTATAAAACTTGGTGTCTAGGGGTTTTTGGGGTCGCTGATAATAACATAATAATAATAATAATAATAATAATAATAACATAATAACATTTATAAATTTCGACCACCATATTGGATCCGCCATTTTGAATTTTGAAAAACCAACATGAAATTCGTAATCAGCAACCCCAAAAACCTTCAAGGAACAAGTTTCAAGTGAATTCGACGAACTTTTATAAATTTCAAACGCCATATTGAATCTGCAATTTTGAATTTTAAAAATCTGACTTCAGATTCGTACTCAGCAACCCCAAAACCCTTCAAGTAACGAGTTTCAAGTAAATTCGATGAACTTTTATAAATTTCGACCGCTATATTGAATCCGCCATTTTGAATTTTGAAAATCTGACATCATATTCGTAATCAGCGACCCCAAAAACCCCTAAGTAACAACTTTCAAATGAATTGGTGAATTTTTATAAATTTCGACCGCCATATTGGATCCGCCATTTTGAATTTTGAAAATCTGACATCAGATTCGTAATCAGCGACCCGGAAAACCCCGAGATACCAGGTTTCATAAAAAATTATTTTTTTGTACAAGATTTCCTATCACATTTTATTTAAGGGTTGTTTTTACCCCTAAAAGCAAAAAATGACCTGATCTAGCAAAACGGCCAGACACGGGTATCTTTTTTTTAGTCCTAGTTTCTGAAAATCATTGATTTTTTCGTGTGTGAAAAATCGTGTCGGACGGTGTATTACTCATATTACCCTTATCACTAAGTATTACACGTTATTACAGAGTATCACACATTATTACAGAGTTTTTTGCATTATTACAGCATCGTAATAAGGCATTATTCCACGATATTACACGTTATTACACAAGTAATACAGGAAGTGTGTACACTTGACTACCTGAGTAAATTCTTCCCCCTCCTTTTTTCCATATTTCCACATCTAATTCTCGCTATAATATATTCTCAAATAATATGGTAATCCTTCAGTCATTGTTTCTTTGTACTTAGGGTTATATTTAGATTAACAGTAAATATAAAAATTCTTTTAAATTAGGTACTATTCTGTCTAATGAAAATGCGATCAAATAATAATTTTATTAAATTCAAAACATTGTATATCTTTTGTAAACATAATATAACCGCGAAACATATTTGTATAATCACTTAAAATAATGAAAAAATATTTAATTTTGTGTTAAAAATGCAACCTTTTTTATAATGAGTGGCTCATTTATAGGATCCTCTGTACATCGCATGTGTTGAAACCATATGAAAACTGCGTTATCTACATCTACATTTTTACAGAATCTTGAATTTTTTCTTGTTTTAAATGTAGAACCATCTTTAATTATAAAATTTGTAAAACACATTACTTGATAATAATTGATATACACTGGAGTCTCCCAAGAGAGGACTTCTGAAGAGAGGACTAAGTATTGACGCGGCGCGGTAAGGAGTGAGGGGGGAAGAGATGGGCGGGATCAGAAAGAGGAACGTGAACTCAGGAGCGTTTGTTTTTAGTGTACCTTTCTCGCGTAGTGTTTTACAAACGTAACAGAATGTATTCTGTTAAAAAAACACATCTCTGTGATACGATATACGGCCCTGGAGTGTTTACAATTTTCGGCGTCAAGGACGAATTCCGTAGAGAGGTCCAAGACTCTTTCTGTCCTCTCTTCGGAGACTCTAGTGTACTGCGATCTACAGATACTATTTTCGGAATTTTTAAAAAATATTTCCTGGTTTTTTTATACTACGTACATTTATGTATTTTGGTGAGCTGATTACGAAAATCATAGTGACAATACTCGAAAATTTGACTTTTATGGCGATTACTATAAAAAAAAGTTCTAAAATTTATATTTTTTCCGTTTTGCTTCCTCGTGGAGGAAGCTTTGTAGTCCTTTCATTTATAAAACTTTTTAAAGTGGCGGAAACAAATTTTTTTCTTTATAGAAACATGTTATATGAGATCCTGATCAATTGTCCGGATGTATGTACGTGTGTATGTGTGTGGATCCCTTTTTTGTTTAGAAGATAACTTTAACAGGTTTTAATGGATTTAGGTAAAATTTGGTAGGCTCATTTATCATATTAATATCTCAAATCTGACCAAAGGATTTTGAAAAATATCCCAAAAAAAAAAATTTTATCGTCTTTTTTCCAAAAATTTTTTTTTAATCGAAAAAATTTTTAAATAGAAAAATTTAAGGTTATATATAATAAAATCGTTTTCCTTACGTCAAGACGAATCGATCGATATATATAAAGTATACATTTAAGGTAAATTTAAAGAATTAATGAAAGTAAAAAAATCAAAATTTCACATTTAGGCTATAAAATTTTGTGATTTTTTAAATTGAAGTTTATATATGAAATAATTGTATTCCTTACGTCAAGACGAATCGATCGATATATATAAAGTATACATTTGAAGTAAATTTAAAGAATTAATGAAAGTTAAAAAATCAAAAATTGACATTTTGGCAATAAAATTTTGCTTTCTCCACGAGGAAGCAAATTTTTTTGCTGATCGTAAAGAGGAAGCAAAATGTTCATGTAATGAACATCTGAATTTACAACTTGTTTTCGTTTATTGAGTAGAAGGTTTCGTATGAATAAAACGATAACATTCGGACCATTGTTGTTTTAATAAAAGTTTACTCCTACATTTCAAAATCTAAATGATTTTGTCTTCAAGGAGTCTATCAAATTACAATAAATTGTCAAGTAAACAAATACAATAAATAATAAAGATAAAAATAAATTAAACTAGAATAATAATTAAATTTCGAATAATTTTACCAAATTAAAACAGATGTCAAGTCATTAAATTAACAGTCATTTGCGGTGTCAAATTGAATAAAATAAAAACAACCCTAATCTTAGAGAAACATAAAGTTTGAAGCTTGAGTTTAAAATTAAACAAATTAAATTTACTATAAAATTATTTGAATGAATGAATTAAGTATTAATTTAAATCGAAATGGAAAATTAAAATTATAAATTCGTACCACTGAAAAGAATCTATTTTTTAAAGAATAATAAATAAACAAACAAACAGACAACAAAAATGGAATAAATAAATAATAATAATTAATAAAAATAATTAATGAAAAATAATAAATAGATACAGAAGTAAAATTAAATAAATTAAAATAAAAAATTTGACGTTGCAAACAACACACATATTTTATTTTAATTTATATTTAACTTTACTTCCCCGTGTGGAAAAGTGATGTGGGCCCCCAGTGGGGCTCTTATGGATCGCCCTCATGCCATAATAT